CCGCTATTTTTTTCCGTGTTTGTTTTTCTCCGTTTTCTGTTCTATTTGTCCATTGGCACGAGTCTGACATCTGGGGACTCAGTGCAATGGTGAGTAAAATAGGTAACAAGTGAAATGAGGTAGGGGCACAAAAAACAAAACAAAAAAAAAAAGGTAGGGGGGTAGTAAACAGCTTCGTTTGGTAGACCAATAGCATGTAGCCAAGTCCAGCTGGGCAAGGACAGAATTATAGCACGCCGAAGATGATGGCTCCCCAGGCAGTGGAAAGTGTACAGGAGGCGATTTTATTCGCGTGATCGAGTATCGCGGCTTCGGTTTTCCGTTTTTTTTTTTGCCTTTTTTTCTTTTCTTATACCTTAGTGGATCGGGCCGTTCTGTGATGAGCGGGGGGTTAGCATTTGCTACCAGAAAAGGAAAAGATTTCTGTATTGGAAAACAGCTGTCTGGCAGCTCGAGCCTAGAAAAGCAACTCGAACTCTGCAAAGCTATTTGTATTCATAGCTGGCAGTTCTGAGCGGAGTTGAAGTGGGCATTCTGCGGTGCTCGTTTCCTGCGAAAATCATAACTACCTACATTCCATTTCATTGTATACTGTATGCCCCAACACCAGGCAAAAGGAGGCAGTAATGCGGTCAGGATTACGTCCAAATTCAGGGCACGATTTCCCAAGTTGGACTTTTGCTGCAGTACCCTACCATTTCCACCGTGTGCTGCAACCTGCAACCGCGTCCTCTTGTCTTCTCCCTTTGGGTCTTCTTGTCCCAATGGCAGTAATGTGGTCAGCATTACGTCCAAATTCAGGGCTTCTCCCGTCTTCCTTTCCGTCTCGTAAGGGGAGTAGGGCCTAAGGGCCTCGCCACGCCACTCGCGAAATGTGAGAAAGACAAAAATGTGGCGGATGCATCTGGCCATCGTATAGCGGGAAGTTCATTCTCGTTTTGCACATTTCCAGAGTGGTCTGGCGATGCCCTAAGGGCTGAGGACCCCACAGGGACAGGATTTGAACTGATGATCTGTTTGTCGACAGACAGCAAAGTTACACCTGTGCCACAAGACAGATTTGTAATATATTTTTCTTACTGCCACAAGACAGTCAGCTACCGCTCCGTTCCGTTTTCGCGGTCGATGGCCCTTGCTCCCACTACTCTCGACGTGCACAAAAGACAAAAATCGTCGCTGTGTATCTTTCCATGTTCTAGCGGAAGATTCACTCTCATTTTGCGCGTTTCGAGAGTAGTGGAGCGAGGCCCGATGATTGCAATTCGCAGTGTTTAGTGGCGCAACTCAACGCTCTAAATGTATATGGATCTCCCTGTGGTCCAGATTCATTCAAAATGTTGGATCACTTCGAATGTATGTGGGCCTCGTCGATACATGCAAAATATTTTGTTGTGGATCGAAGTCCTTGCTTTGATGGGCCTGTATGTAGTGCGTAGCCCGGCGTTTGTGTTATCAAGGTTTTGTGATCCCTTGGGTAACCCCGTCAATAATGCACCTGGACGCGGACGCAGCGTAAAGACAGATGATGCACTTGTCCGAGGGATGGTGCCGTTGACAGGGGGCTGGTGTGGAAGCCTGATCGGGCTACGTTAGCCGCTACCCCCCCGGAGCGGCGTCCCACGCGCAAAGAGGATTGGATTGAAGCCATGAATCTGGCCGGGTTTGGTGAGAGGTGCAGATAACCGGAAGTGATCTGCTTTTCCGCATCATGGCATATAATACCTCCACATTCAGGCTTTTAAGCCAACCCTCTCCGCGCGTGGGACCCTTACTTCCTCTCCAAGCAGAGCCCCTTTGGCCTTCTTGGAGAGGACGTAATGGAGTCGCTGCTCTTTTGATGTAGCATCACGCAGAAGGTTCTCTTTTCTCTGTGGCTCGTGCTGTTTCTATTTTGTGCCCGACAAATGACAGAATGAATGTGAGTGACTGTCACGTCAGGTGCATTTTGGGCCTACCCCCCTGAGGAAACCAGTCGAATTAGATATTCCGGAAATTTTGCAGCTCTATCCAGGTAACAGGGTTTGTTGCAAACAGCCATCGCTTTGCAAACTGTGGTATCAAATTCGTGCAAAACTCGCACAAAATTTGTCTGAAATTTGTGCAAAAGTTGTGCAAAATTTGTCTGAAATTTGTGCAAAATTTGTGCAAAATTTGAGCGAGATGTGAATGTACCTTAAAAAAAAAAACAAGAATACCTGGTCTATTTATAAAAAAACAAGCTATGTGTGAGATATCATTAAAACAATAAGCACGTGCTGCTAAGGAGGATTGGATTCTCGGTGTGAACGTAGCTGTAACAGGAAAAAAAAAACAAGAAACTCTGGTCTATTTTCCCGGAGCAGCATGTGCTGGGAACCTGGTCTTGAGAGTGGAAAGGTATATATGCTCCTTGCTTATTGCCCAGAGTGCAATGGCTTTGGTTGCAAATATCCGATGATCCATCTAATACCTTATCCCACCATTGTCATAGCAATGTGACCCCTGTTTGGCCATATATGCCCCCTTTAAGGATATCTGATGGAACCCTCTCGCACCGCACACCCTAGCTCACCAAAGATGGAACCCTATTACAGGTGCGAAGTGCAGGAATTTGGACACACCCAATGTAATTTTAATTGAGGAATGATGATGTATCTAGTTAGAGCCTAAGGTGAGCAGATGGATGATTGAATAGATTGTTCTCGATCGAAAGCGGCCTTCTTCCGTTGGTAAGTAAAACCGATGATTGAAATGAATAGGAAGACCATCATAGACCAAGTCCTCAGAGTCCTTTTGAGTTTTCTTCAGAAAACTGATGGATTGTTGATGGAACCCTTTTTTGTTTTGTTAAGAAAATGGTCTGAAATGACCGAATTGGAACTCGTTCCCTGGTATTGCAAAGTTGGAGATGGGTGTGCGCATTTACTCATGCATGCAGATGAAAGTGAGAAAGAGGAGAGGATGTCCGGTGCGAGGCTGAACGTGGAGTTCAGCCTCTTGCCGGTGCAGTGGACCCACCCACACACAGAGGACACTCAAGCACGGAGATCACAGCCTCGACCACACACACACACATGGGGAGGTATGTACCGGGTTCGGTGCTACCCGGTTGCAAGCAACAGGATGCGTAGTTGAACTCAGGTTCCAGGGGTCTCCAAGGCGCCCTGCCAGGAGTCACGGCACCCTGTCACCTGACGCCAGAGGAAACTGCGGTGGGCCTGCGTGGAGGTTGGCAAACCCTAGCATCCCCTCCCCTCGACTCTTTCGCACCGAGCCCACCCCTGCGCTTCCCTAATACCCCCCATGACCCTACACAATCCAAGAGTGGGCGATGCTCTCCGACAACCCACAAGGAGCAGGGTTGTGTGGCAGTGTCGTGTGGCATGCCCAGGGGGTGCAGCCTTCGATGTGGCAGCCACAATGGCTGGATCCCACAGTTTGGAGCTGTATCTTGAAACGCCTGCGTGCAGCCCCGTGCATACACAAGTATCGGACCTCTTGCGTTGCTTCGTGTGTACACAAGCCTCCTGCATCGGTCTATGCCTGCCGGCTTAATGCACAGGGGGTAGGTATCCGGAGATTCGAACCGTGCATACATGCCCGCCGGCTGAATGAGAAGGGAGTAGGTCCGAAGATTCCAGCCTGCGCCCTTATACCAAGATGCGCATTCCATACCGGTGCTCTCTAACCTCTGAGATAAGCCACTTGTGTGAGAAGTGCGCTCTTCACTGACAGCATTGGTCACCCTTTTCTTAATCAGCCGACGGTAGGCGAGCTGTGCAGGCATTGTCCGCTATGCGGTTCTAAAGAGTGCATGTGTGCCGAGGGCTGACAAAGCAACGGCCCAGGATGGCGGGTACTTTAAAACACAAAAAGAACAAGAAAAAAAACTGAAATGGGCGTCATTCCCACTGATAGGTAATGAACTTCTCTGCTTGCTATAAGGTGGGATCTCAAATTCCAGACTTCGCCAATTGTCAATTTCCGTGGACCTGCTGCACCTGCTCAAATTTGGAATGACGCCCATTTCAGTTTTTTTTCTTGTTCTTTTTCTTTTTTGGACCTGCTCAAATTTCAGTGGACCTGCTGGACCTGCTCAAATTTGGACGGGCCGCAATTGTGTAATTGGAATACAGTGAACGGCAATCTTGGTATTTCAGATATAGGGTGAGCAACAATAACAAGGATCATTGCCATGCACCTTTTTCATATTTGCTAAGGAGGAATGGATTCTGCCTGGAACTACAGGATGAACTGATGAACCTTGGGGTTTGGCCAAGGCGGCAGGGTGTTTGGTAATCTGAGTTGGAAAAAGAAAGAAGGATTGTCGTTAACCGTTGTGGCAGAGCTAATTCGCACTTAGCTGGCAGCCTGTGCTGGTTTCAAGATGCAAGCCATTTTGTAGACTCTATCATGACGCACGCTGGGTCTCTTGAGACCTCCTCATGAGACTCCAGCGCGAATCTGCAAAGGACTTAGGAACACCTGCAGTTGGGACAGTTGGGACCCCCTGTGCTTGATGTTCATCAAATGAGCACTCAATTTGTTTCAGCAGCTCACCATGGTTCTCTGATGAAGGAAAATGAGCAGGTGGTATTCTTCTTCTTCTTTTTCTTTTTTTTTTTTTTTTTTTTTTTACTCTCATAGCGTGTGGGACATTTGTTGATCATGGATTATGCCAGTGCTGTGGTCTCAGATTTACTCGATTGGGACTTCTGCATGATATGTCATCATTTGTTTCGATGATTATGCTGTCTGGCTTAAGCTTTGTTTGGAAGGGCATATTTATTCAGACGATCGTCGTTTAGGCATGTTATGTATGTCGCATGTGCGTTCAACGTCGTTGTCATGGGCGATGGTTTCTTTCGCATAGCATAGCGCATGAGATTCAAGTGTGTGCATGTTTCTTCTGAATTCTCTGAATGCATTTATTCAGCATCTTAACTTGATGCTTTCATTGCAGACTCCAATCGACCTTTTGTCTGACGCTCTCAATCTGGTCTGGATGTTTGATGTGTCAGGTTTATTCGATTTGGTGCCCTTGATCCGAGGAGGAATTCTCTAAAGAATGAGCAATGGAGAATTTTAACTTGCATCCCGCTACATGCCGGCCTGTTCCACATCTTGGTGAACTTAATCACTCTCGTTTTTGTGGGAGCGCGGCTGGAAAGAGAGTACGGCACATGTAAGTGCTGTCGCCCCTTCCAACCCGCAACCTTCCTCTCTCCTTCGTCGTTTGTTCGTTCTTGTGAGTGTACCTAGGGAGCACCCGCGTTTCTTAATTGCCTCCTCTCTATATGAGGGCAAATGTGCTTTTGCAATAGCATTTGAAGCAAGCTCGCAGTCAATCTGTCACTACCGTCTATGGCTGTGTACTAACTGCTGCGTCTGCTCTACAGCCAGCCCATGGAAGGCTGTGGCATATATGTTGTTGGGTTTTTATTTGTGATCGTTCTCTTCTTTTTTCGGTTTTAACGCTCAAGTTTCCGTTGTCTGGAATTCCGTGTCATCATTTTGAAAACTTCACCATGCAGTGACCATCCTTGGAGTTTGGTTTGCTTCGGCGCTAGGAGGTGGTCTTTGGTCGGCGATACTTCTCGTCCCGGAGAATGTCTCTGTCGGTGCCTCTTTCCCGACGATGGGCCTTGTCGGGCTGACAGTTGTGGATATGCTTCTGTATGGAGATCTGTACGTCAACAAGGTAATTGACCGACTGTTTAATGAAGGAAAGCCCAAGTCTTTATCAGTTCTTTTTTTTATTTCTTCTCTTTTCTTTTCTTAATAAGCTCTTTAAGCATTTGTTTTTTCCAATTTGCATTATATACAGCCTCCGACCAGTTTGGTGAACGTCTGATGAAATATCCGAAATTGGTCAGAAATGTTTTTATTTTTTGATAAGCTCTTTAAGCATATGTTTTTCCGATTTGTTTTTTAATAAGCTCTTTCACAGCTCCCGGCTTTAAGTCTCTTATATGCTAACTGTTTGCCCGCTGGTTCTCGCTCACAATATCTGAAATTGGTCAGAAATGTTTTTTTTTTTTTTTTTTTTTTTTTTTTTTTTTTTTTTTTTTTTTTTTTTACAAATCAACTTTGCATTCCATTAACAGAGAAAGAGAGGACGCCGGGAATCCCTCCACAAACGACCCCGAAAAAGAAAACTCAACTCTGGGACCATNTTTTTTTTTAATGTTTTGTTTTGTTGTTGTTGTTCCGTTTTTACTAGTTGGTTATAACGATTGGCTTTTTGGTTTTGAATGGAACGAAGGCGCTTTCGGTTTTGAACATCTTGGAGTAATTACTCGAGCTGGTAGAGGGATGGATGGTGTATATTGAATTACATTCAACCTGATGTCTTGATGATGAGCCATACGCAAATGACAGGTGATGGCTCGAGAACTGCCCGAGCAGCCATAAATCCTTCGTGACCGCATACCTACCGGCTTTGCCTACTACCGTCTTCCCCCGAATAGATGGCCCGGTCCTTATGACTGTATCTGGGCTGGAAGTTCCGCCAAATACCGCGAAAATGCCTGGGCGAAGGCCTTAGCAATAGACTATATCTTGGACAAAACGTCTGCAGCCGAAGCCGGCTAGTGACCCCGGTACGATGAGTGCTCTGTTCTTTGTTGTTATTATATGGGACGCGGATAGACACCGGTTATTAGCAGGTGTGTCTCCCCACCGATAGACAGCAGTGTATATGTTCGTACCTCTCGGCCAGGTGCAAGCACATACTCGAACCGGCGACCTCGGCCTCGAGAGCCAGGCATCGTAACATCATCTGGACCGGGCGATTCAAAGTGCTATCGGGGGGGGGATATGCTCGTCTCACCCCCGATCGCACTGCGAGCGGATGTTAAACACCCCAAAAGAGGAAAAACAGCTGAGCGTGCGTCAGAATTATGTCTTTCGTCTACTGTCTTTCCCCCAATAGAACGTACTACGATTGGTCATTAGCGCTGTATCTACACTACAAGTCCCCAAAAGTAGGGGCATTACGACGGTTTACGTTCTATTCGGGCGAAGATTTTAATTTCACAATTAATTACTAAGTCACTGGTTACTCGAAATCATGGCTTTCTGTTGAGTTTTCCTGTTTTACAATTGCTATATCATTTTCAATATTCAACAGTCAATTGTTTGACTGACTATAGTAGTAGGAAGTCTAGTTTTTACCCTTCGAGCTGTAGCTGGTGTGATGCCAGTCCTTGGCTTTGTCAAACAAAACATTTGACTGTCTGACATTGTCTGTGTTTTGTCTGTCTCTTGGATGCCAATCCTTCCGGAACATCTCTCCTCGGGCTGTTGTGGTGGGTCTCGCAGGTTGTTGCTGCCTATAGTCTGTTCCTTGTGTCGGGATTGCATATCGTGGTCGGCTTGATGCCGAACGTCGACAACTGGGGTCACATTGGAGGCTTCATCTCTGGCTTCTTCATCGGTCTGCTGGTTCTGACACGTGTCGAGCCTACTTGTATGTCGCAAGTGGAAGGGGGTGTGGCTGTCAAGAAAAGGATTGATCTTGGCTTCAAACGGCGGGTAGAAATTTACCGACGACCCCTCCGAATTGGAGGGACGATGGTGGTTGGACTTGGGTGAGTGCGAAAGTTTGTTTATTCTCGCCATGTGTATTCTGCTCCCAAGTTTATTCTCGCCATGTGTACTCTAAAAATCTCTTTTTCTTTTTCTTTTAATAACAAAAACAAAATCGTAAACATGTGTCGATTGTGTATTCATTGCCTCCTCCTCTTTTGTGTATCCATTGTTACCCTATCTCTGTTTTTTTTTTTTTTTTTAGCCTATCTGATGTTCAGATACCTTACGTTTTCCTGAAGGTTTTTAAAACTGTCTCGCGTCTTCCAGTCCATGCAGCTTGCGGTTTCTGTTT